GCCTCCTCGCGCGCAACTTCTCCCGGCGCTGCTCCATTACGAGGCGTAGTCGCCTCATTTTTCCCTTCGTCGCCTCGTTTTCTTTGGAAAGTTCCTCTGTGAAATGAACGGAAAATCATCAGCTAGCTCACTCTTGTCGTCAATTACTGTCATTTATTACCGTTATTACGACTATCGTTATTGCCATTAGTCGGTCTATTGGTAATCATTATCATCACTGTTATCATCGTTATTATTGCTATCGCTATTATCGTTATCGTCATTGTATTTGTTGCTGTTGTTGTCGTTACTGTTGCTGTTATTATTGTTATCGTCATTACTATTATGATTATTCGAGTATCAACATGTAATTAAATGATTTTAAGCGATGTAAATAAGAGTCGGAAATATATTTACGATAATAACGTATCAAGGACGTGATTTTTCCCGATTCAAATTTTATTTATTTAACTTTAGTTGGATCGAGCCGCCGTAACTCGAATAAACACGGCTCCATGCAATAGTATCGCACGAAAGTCTAATTAGTCGTATTAATATTATGGAAAACGAAGCTTAATCAAATTAAATTTAAATTTAATTTATAATAAATGCTACTATTCTTAAGAATATCGATGCGAAAAATTTGACTCCCAAATTTATAGTTTTATTTGGCTAAATTTACCAATAATATTCCCTCGCATATCATCGCACTATTGAACGTCATATTTGACTGGGAAAAAAGTGTATTTTTAATACGCAGTAATATTTTCGATAATGTCGTAATAAACGAAAGTACTTTCCATTGGAGCGTAGATTTCACTTTCTTAATCTCATCGAGAATGTAATTTTACCAATCGTAAATATATTTTTGGTCGTATTTTAATAAATATTTATTTACATTCATTGAAATTTATATTTAGCGCATACACTGCACGTATAAACATATATTTTCGTTTCCTCCGAATAAAAGTTTAATGCTTGGCGATTTCGATCCTACAATGATGTCGTCACGACTTTAACGTATTCGTAAATATGGCATAGAAGTAGAACTGACAAATATATATTTGATACGTGAAAAGTTTGTTTGTGCGACAGTTCCTGAGGACGAATCAAACAATCGACGAGCATTTTCCTTTCTCATTGGAGTGGCCTCGACTTTTAACAAACAATCCATCCAAATTTCATTAAATTAGAAGAGTCGCGTATTATCACTGGGCAATTAAAATGCAATTAAAACCCGTGGATGGTGAGATCAATTAACCGTATTAGTCATATCGGGGCGAGGCTTCTAACTTGCTCAAAGGCCGCTCAAATTGTTAAGAAAATTTTGAATTTTATAAGAGAAATTTTAAGAAATTGCAAAGAAATGACAAGCACAAATAGTAGGGACATTTTTCTAGGTAATAGAGAATCAAGCTGTCGACTAACCGCTGGAGTAGCTAGTATTGGGCACGTCGTGACAAGCGACCGCTGTCTCGAGTCCGGTTGCACCCATGACGGAGGCCGGCGACGCGGAGTTGGCGGCGAACATGGAGCTTGGCTGATTGGCTGCGGCGACCTGGGCTCCAGTTACACTGGCACCGGCAGTGCCGCGATGCGCACCCGGATGCCTGTGGTTCCTATAATGACCCGCGCTGGTGGCCGGGGTTGCACACAGCAGGTCGTTCAATATGTGGATAATGGTGCTGATGTCGCGCTTGGGCCTACCGTGACGATCCTGAAGCGCGGGGTTTAACGTACCGCTAAACGTCCCCGTGTACACGCCCTTGCCATGATGGTGCATGCTTTCGATTATCGCACCCTGGCGCCGCTTCGCGTTCTCCTGCGGAATACGTGTAAGATGTTTACGAAGCTCGCCTCGGTTATCGAACATAAGATATATAAATTTGAATGTAGACTACCTCGGAGGATAGTTGCTTGAGTTTCTGAGTGAGATTGCGGGAAGCCTCGACGAGAGCTCTCGTGTCGAGAGTCGCCGTCGGATTTGATGTGGGATCGGTAGTTGGGATCTCGGGGCTACTCTCAAGGCTCGTCGGGGTCAGTGGTGGAGTCGCAATAGTCGTCGCCGTCGTCGTTGTCGCCGCTGCCGCTACAGCTGCTGCTGCCGTAGCCGTAGCCGTAGCCGTTGCCGCCGCTGCCGCAGCTGCAGCGCAAGCTTCCGTGCAGGGACTCGTATGCGTGGCGATACTCTTCGGGATGGGAGCTCCGACCTCTGTACCGGTGCACGATTTCTTCTTTGGTGATTTCGAGCAATAACATTGACCCAGAATGAACGAGCACTTGGCAGCGGAATCGGGTGTTGTCGCCGTTGCTGTCGTTGGTGTCGCCGTCGCCGTTGCCGCTGCCATTGTTGCCGTTGCCGTTGCCGTTGCCGTTGCCGCTGCCGTTGCCGTTGCCGTTGCCGTTGCCATTGCCGTTGCCTCGGCCTCGTTACACGATAGACACGATGGTTTTGCTACTGTAAGCAATATTTCAATATCAGTAATTCCGAATACTTAGTTATCGCGTTACTATTGAAAATACTCTTCAAGTCGAAGAATATAAAGCGATGAATAATTACAGCGAGAGTGACTTGCAATTCTGTCTTGGTTAATAAAGTAAAGAACACCTATTGTGCGTTACATCAATAAATCCTTGTATACAACGTACAATTATAATTGTTGTATATAATTAAATTTTGATCTAAAGGATTATATCATATTACGAAAACAATCGTATACTTGTTTAAATCGATAGGCGTATCTGCACTTGAATATAGGCGTGTGTGTGCGCGTGTGTGCGCGTGTGTGCGTGTGTACATAGAATGCTTGTTAAAAAAAAAAAAAAAAAAAAAAAAAAAAAAAAAAAAAGTAATCTTTACAAGATTAAATCAATTGGAAAGCGAGCAAAGTAACTTCAGCGAATGGCATGACTAAAAACACGGGTAGGATTCATTCATTATAATAATCGGGCAGAAAGCAAATCACCAATCAGCTCAATTATTACCATCATTGAAACAGAAAAGTAAATATAGATAATTCTCGAATGTGATTCACGAAAACATTGTGGCACAGATCGCCGCTGCGGTCGGCTTTTCGTTTCCCAGCGAGCGACGAGCCTTTCACTTGCACGCGTAACGTGAATCACACTCGCGCAAACAGGCCTCAAAGGCGAGCCGCCGTCCTCGCTCACCCTGTATCACTTTCTTGGCGTAGCGATGATGATGATGATGATGATGGTGATGGTGGTGATGGTGGTAGGGATGCCGAGGTGGATGCATGTGACGATGTCGCGAGGGATGCCGATGTTGGAGTCCTGGCGACTGTCTTGCGCTCGGTACTGGCGTCGTCGTTGTTGCAGTCGCGGATGGCGACGATGGTTGTTGCTGCTGCTGTTGCTGCTGTAGCTGCTGCGGCTTTTGCTGCAGTTGTTGTTGTTGTTGTTGTTGTTGTTGTTGTTGTTGTTGTTGTTGTTGTTGTTGTTGTTGTTGTTGTTGTTGTTGTTGTTGTTGTTGTTGTTGTTGTTGTTGTTGTTGTTGTTGTTGTTGTTGTTGTTGTTGTTGTTGTTGTTGTTGTTGTTGTTGTTGTTGTTGTTGTTGTTGTTGTTGTTGTTGTTGTTGTTGTTGTTGTTGTTGTTGCTGCTGCTGCTGCTGCAGTTGTTGAGAGGGCTGCTCGAGTATGCCAGCCGTTGTGCCCGAGGTCCAGCAAGAGGGACTAGCGCTGCGGCTAGAACCAGACGCGCCTGGCCAGGTTGGGGAACTCGGTGCCTCCGATGGCCGGGGACTGAGAGCAGCGAAGAGCCTCGAAGCTACAGCGGCCGAGGCTAAGCTACCCATTGACCTCGAGAGGGAAAACTTTGAGGGACAGGCCACGGCTGTCGTCGTCGTCGAAGCGAATACGCCCGACGAGCGCCTGAAAATTTCCATCCCATTCGATTATTTCATTACTTTATTACTACCGCCACTCAGCAGTATTATTAATAATAATAGACGCGCTCTCATTGTGCACAATACACATTGTTATTGATGTTATTATGATTGCTAATACTATTATTGTTTGTATTATTAGTACTACTAAAGCTGCCACTACGAATTCACTCACCATCATTATTATTAATTTTATTATTCGACTTATTACTTTAGCATTACGTGCATTATTGTTCATCTAGCTATTGTTGCCATTACGATGTTTTTGCCATCACTGTCACTGCATTATATATACCCGTGTACTGTATATATTTCATACCACTATTATTATTACTTTTCCAACTATCCTTATTTTTATTATCGCCAGTACTAGTAGAACAGTGGAGGACTACCATGCCATAACTATTACCATTATTACTGTAATTATGCCAACTAGTGCAATGAATGTAACTATGCGATATTGGTATATTTTTTGCTTCGGTAGTATTATGGGCACATACATTAAGTTCAATGGCTAATGGCTCTTTGGCGATTGTGCTCTACTGAATTTTTGGGGCAATTGAAAAATAAGAATATCGAGAAGAAGGAAATTTTTGATTAAATTGAAAAATGGCGTTAACGACGAGTACACGAGGCAGAATAATACCGTAAGAGCAATGCCGATAACGCGAATCAACATGAACGAATATCTTAACGCTTAACGCTGCCACTATTTCCATCCCACTCGTTATTCTCGTTGTGTCCCTGGGCGCACGTGCGCTTCTCCGAGCGTAATGCACAAGTCCCGCAGATGAAAATCAACGAAACAATTTATCATCAAACCGTAAATCGTTGAATCACATCATTAGCGTGCGCGCGTCTAGCGATAACGTGAGACAAAAATATGTGAGGCTGCTTACCGTGTCGGACTCGCGGCCTCCTGGCCTTCTGGCCCAGGCTGGGCGCTCGGCGGTGTCTGCGGTCTACTGGACCTTGGCGGTGGTGCCGCTGGGCCCGCGGTCGTACCCGTCGTCGGCGTCACCGTCGACAGCTGCAGCTGAATGAGCATCATATGATCGCCGAGACGCATGGTAAGGTTAAGGGGCGCCTTGCCCGAGAGGAAGTCGTTCACCTGGGAGTCGCTCAGGCTCTCCAGTGCCTGCATCACGCTCTGCTCCGGTCGCTGGGTCTGTAATCGGCCAACGAACCATTCGTTACTCCTTTACGAAGGCCAACAAAAAATGCGTCGCGACGCTTTTGGACATTGTGCAAGGCGAGCAGCGCGAGCCGTTCGTGGCCGAGGCTGCGAAAGGCTCATTTTACGCAATGCCATGTTTAAAAAAAAAAAAAAAGTTCAATACTACACAATATCGCCGGCTGCGATTTTAGAGCGCTCGCATACCCGTTGAAAATGAAAAGAAAAAAGGCTCTGTTAGACGTTACGGGATTTACTACGTTTCTGATTGAAATATTATGGACCTCGTTCGTACGTCCCATACACGTTGTCTCACCCGTGTAAGAAAGAAAAAAAAGAAAAAGAAAAAAAGGAACGCCGAGTGCGTATACGGAAGTTTTTTTTCCTCGACGATGGAGTTGGCGTAACAGAGCCGACGGTCTTGCCTATCGATTCGTCGCCAGTGGGACCCCCCCCCCCACCGCCCGCTTTTGTCACAACACAACTCCAGGGCCCCGCATCTCGACTCCCGCTCAACGATTTAATCAGCTAAGTGATTGCTCGCGTCCACTAAAAGCGCAATAACGCACGCACTGCCAAGGCAAGGAAGGATAAAAGAGTCATAAGGTTTGGTAAGTGGTGGTGGGGCGAGTGGTGAGAGGAGGGTTGAGGAGCAAGGGCAGTACGTCACGAGTGGTGGCATCGCGAGAATTGGAAAAGCCCGAGATGCGTGTGAAGGAGGCCCCGACTACGACGAAAGATTAATAGCCCAGGGGGTCCAAGGGTTGGTAGCCCGCGTGTCGTCTCCGTTCACTCGCTTTCCTTCCTTCTCTCTTATCGCTGGAGCGACACGCGATGACGCACGCGCGAAACCGGTCGCGCGGCTTATCTCGCGCTCGCCTTAGTAGCCGCAGCCGCCGCCGCCGCCACCACCGCCGAGGGAAATTCAATAAAGCGCGGGGCTGCGATAACGGCCGACGTTTGGTCGATACACCCGGACCGCCACGATACATCTCAGCTTTCGCTGCCGACTCCACCCGAAAATTTCCGAAAGAAACGTTAAGAGGACCATTGGGGCCCGGGTGGTCTCTCTTTTTAATTTCACTACTCCCCTTCCCCTCTCTAGTCCTCACCGCCTAACCTTCCACTTCACCCCGCGCTCGCGACCCACCGTCCCCAGGTACCACGCGAGGGTGAAAGGAAAGCGTCCCACCGGGAAATCGATACGCCGCGGCGCATGGACGGGACCTCGCGTGCGCCGAGAGACGGGGTCGGGGTCGAGAGCGGGAGGAGAAGGAAAAGGAGGAGGAGGAGGAGGAGGTGGAGGAGGAAGAGGAGGAGGTGGAGGAGGAAGAGGAGGAGGTGAAGAAGGTGGAGGAGGCGTTAGGTCCGAGATGAAGACCTGCGAGGGATCCCCCGGCAACACTACACCTGACAGACTTCCCGAGAACGTTTGCAGCCAGCGGCTTGGGTGTCGCCGCTATGTCTTCCCTTTCGGTGGCAAGTAAATTCGTTTTATTAAGTAACGGGATAATACTGAATTGCGGAGCTTCGAGGGACGTTTGTTACGAGGCGTCGCATCGACATTGCGAAATTAATCGTAAATCGTAAACCGTAAGTCGTTCATAAATTTAGGCTGCTTTGACTTTTCTCTCTCTCTCCCATACCCCCCCCCCCCATCCATCCTCGCACTCTTCGCGCCACTCATCTCATGGGCTTCTTTTATTCCGCGCTTAAATTGCTAATCAATGGATTATTACGTGGTACGTGCATACAACAGCCGCATGCCATGTCGATTTCAGAGTTTTCAGTAGAATACAGAGATATATGGTCGTATGGTTGGTAGCCGTTTACAGCAAATCTTAAAGGTGCGCAACAAATTAAGGGGGACATATTATCGTGTCCGGTGTTTTATTTCTGCGTACAGAAAAGAAAAAGAAACGGCAAAAATAAGGAACGAGCGAGCGAGCAAATAAGCATCGAAAGTGCTTGTATAAGTCGCGTCCTCGAGTCGCTTATTTTAAATGTTTATGGAAAACGATTCCCCAACTCAAAAATGACGAGTCATACGTAAATTACAAAAAAAGAAAACAAATGTTCTTGGTGTAAATTGATATATTAGCTGAGAATTTTTATCGCTGTGAATTGCTTTTGAAAGTGGGCCGCGACAGATGTTGCTTATTTCAAAACTACATATTTTTATTAAGGTTTTAAGCATAATTAATTATTCGATCTTGGGAGTCGGATGATAAACATTCATTTTCATGTCTTATTTTGTTCGCGTGCTTGTGCGTGCGTGAGTGCGTGCGTGCGTGTGTTTGTGTGTAAACATAAATGAAAAAATATAAAAAAAAAAACATTATATATACACGTGAATAAAAAAAATAAAAGAAAAAAAAATAAAAAAATAAAAAAATAAAGAAAATAAATAAAATATGAACAATGTGCGATTGCGTATAATTTTGATCATTGAAAGAATAATGTATCGCACGTGCGACAGACAAACGTATTTCAGAGGAGTCAGGGCATTGTTCATTTGTTATGTAGTATGTGAAAAATAATGAGCGTAAATGATCAACAAACTAATTAAAAATTTTCATTTAACAGATAACGCGCGTCAAAGTTGTAAGTGTCACACGATTTGTGATTTAATTAACGAATAATATTATTGACTTAAGTGAGATCACAAGTGAAAAGCGAATTATTTTCAACTTTTGACATTATTTAGTTCAAGCGAGCATTCAAACTTTACATATATATTATTCACATATATGAAGGGATTATTTTGCAAATGTATACGATTATTAAGCATAAATGGCAAACAATGACAATGGCTATCCGAGATAAATTATTAAATTTACGTTACCACGCGTATTTGCAGTACTAAGTAACAGACGCCGTTAAGATAAAATTGGCTGAGCCGTAAAAATGTATAGGCACTATAAATGGAATAAAATAAAAATGAAGAGTACAATGCGAAGTTAAGGCCAAGCCACGTATTTATTTATTTATTGTATTTACGCGAATTCGATCGACATATTAATCAAACTAATGACCGTACCATATTGCAAACAAGTCTGGCAATTTTTAGTTCTCATGGGTCGCTCGCCGCGTTATTTAGAGCGCACATTATCACATAAAAATAAGCGATCGAGCCAATTAACAAAATCAATGCGCCGCTTATTTCTAAAAATACACCGAGCGCGCGATGAAAGGCGTTTTTTGCAATCAGTGCGAGTGCCGTCGGGAACAACAAAAAGCAAGACACGCGATAGTGCACCTAGATAACGAACGGAGCAGAAGAAGAGCGCGCGCGCGCGTGCGCGATATAATGTTTGAATTAGATTCGGGAAAATGTGTCGTGCTCGCCAAAGGAGTCAGCGATCTATCGTTTCTTCCTTCGTCCAACAATCGGCCAACAACAACGAAAACACCTGTGCACATACGCAACGCGAGCCTATAAATCCGGTATATTCGTGACGCACTCCCTCCCCTCTTTCGTTACTTTGCCCCCTCGACGTTCGCACCGCTTCACGGATAAAGACGAATACTCTCGACTGTCACTCTTGACGTTCCGTTCCTACCTCTCATTCCGCAATATATTCATTTGATTTTACAGCGCAGTCGGAGCCCAAGAGATTCGCGCACCGGGGAAAAACGCAATGACCTTGTAACTGTTGGGATAACGGAAAAAAATCTTAATTACATTAACTTGTACCGCGTGCGCACTTAACGGTAAACCGCTGATATGTTATTATATTTCGCGAAAATTGCGCGCTTAAATGTTGATTAATGCGCGAGCGCGCCTTTAATGGGGAATTATACGTGTAGCGCTTAAAGCCTACGGATGAAAATTAGTTTTGTAATGGGAAACGACGACCTTTGCTGATTTCGGCGTCTTACTTTGCGCTCGGATGCACTTATCGACGCTTTGGTGGGGCGCGCGAAAAACAGCGAGATATGTCTTTTATTCGCGATCTCTCAAACAATAGCGAATAATAGCCCTCCTCGTATAAATCCTATCAACATTTCATTTTTCCTATAAAATTAATCATCATGTGACATCACTCTCTCAATTGGCTGACCAATTAATTTAACAAAACTGCGTCTATCGTGTGTATGCCCTACGGAAGCACAGGCTGTAAAGTCACTTTATTTCTCTCATCTTTCTTATCTTAATTCACAGTCGTTGAAAAAATTCCCGATTTCATTAATAAGTCCAAGAAAACCGAAACGAGATACTTCGTGACAACAAATACCCAATGGTGGGGATTGGGAAGAGAGGGGGGGGGCGATTCTTATGTCACAGCCGAAGCCGATATATGAGGCGGTTTTCAATCGCCGTACCAACAATATTGCGTAATATATACTTGGAAGAGAAACAAAAGCGTAAAAGGGTTTCGTTCGAGCGTTCATCCTCGTTTCGACTGGGGTTATCTCTGGGGCTGGGAATTCCCTCGCTGTCGACCATAGTCCCTCGGTTTCTCTCATCGGGGTGGCCGCGACGAGGAGATAGCAGGGCCGAATTGCCGGCGCAAAAGACCTCGGGTGCGAGGGCGGAAGAGGCGCTCGGTTAGCGACGGAGGGACGGAGGCCTTTGCGCGAGCGGTGGCAAGATGGCGCCAGGGTGGAAACACACGCTTCCGCGTGTACGTTACGGCGAAGGGGGTGATGGGATGGGGGTAGGGTGAAGAACCCGTAGAACCTGAACAAAGTGAACGACCTTAAGCCCTTTTTTCCCTTTAATCGTCGAATGCGACCTTATCGCCAATGACATAAGCAGACGGCTACGATAAGGCGCATATTTGAGAGGCCGAATGCACGATAAGGCGCATATTTGAGAGGCCGAATGCACGATAAGGGGATTCTTCTCCATCCTCCACATTTTCATTTCCTCCGTTGCATTCCAAAATCGAGGGTCTTTATTCGGTCGTTATTCGGCAATGCGCTACACGTGTGCATGGAAAGCCTATAGTAGAGCTTGGGTTAGTGTGCGGGTTAAAACTCGACGGTGA